TCAATACAAATAGTATCAAGAACTAATGCACTTTCATAACATCGAATTGCTAATTTAATTTCTTTTTGAGAATAATATATTCTACCAATACCACACCTAATACTTACATTTGTTGGTTGTTTTTTAAGTGCTTGAATAAAATAAGATAATGCAACTCCATCTTTGTGATCTTTTAATTCACATAATGCAAGACCAATTAATGCTGGTGCATAATTTTTATTTAATTCTAATGCACGTTTAAAGTAATCTTTACAAGGTTTTTTAGAATAAAATGCATTAAATCCATAAACACATTCAGTAAATTCATTATCTCCAAATCGTTTTGACTTCTCAAGATATTCATGACATATTTTGTTATTTTGTTCATTTCCTGTATATGCATTTAATGACCCAATAACTAAATAAAAATATCGTTCTATTGATTGACTTAATTGTGTTAATGAACTATTTGTCATTATTTCTAAAAGAAATTTTTGTGCTTCTTCTCTTCTTTGTTCTCTTACTAATGCTGCAACAACTTGAAATGTAGCAATTGGATCTTTTTGAAAATATGATTTTAATTTATGAAATTGAATAGTAATTGGTCTTGGGATTATTACATATCGTGTTGGGTCAATCATTAATTTGATTGGTTCAGGTGCAAATATGGCAACCAATTCACTCATCTTCAATTGATTTTTGTTATTCTTTTTTTAGTTCTTTTTTAATTTTTATATTAAAAAACTTTTATTATTTTTTCTTTTATTTTTTGTTATTAAAATAATACTAATATACATTTTCTATTTTTGTTGTTAAACACTTTAATATATTATACAAATCATTAGATGTTATTTAATTTATTTTGTAGTTAATAACAGATTTCAATTAATAAATATATTGTTATATTTTTGAATTTACTTCTTATTAAAAAGAAATTCATATCATTTTGTTTTTATCAATCTTCTTCAAGTAAAATAAAAATACTTTACAATAAAAGAATAGAAATAATTAATTTTTTTTTCATTAATTGATTTCTGAAGGAATAAAAGTAATTTTATTTTTGTTAGTTATTTCTTTCTCAGTTCTTTAACTTATTTTAAAGAATATAAATTGTTTGGAGTTGAAATTTTGTCAAAACATACTAAAAGAACTTTAATAAACATCAAACAAATTACCAACATGAATTTGATTATTAATTAAATATACTTAAAAAAAAGAAGAAAAATATAATATAAGAACATACTAATTCAATTAAGGCTATAAATTATTTATTTAATTTTTAATAACAAAATGGATAATCACATGGATAAACATAAGAAGGGTTGCAATAAGAAGGATTACAATAAGAAGGATCAACACAAATCTGATAAAGAAGTGGTTCTGAATTTATAATCATTGTTGGTTGAATTACCTGAAGATCTTCAGAAATGAACAGATTCAGTATTATTTGTTTGTAAAATATTTAGACCCAGCATTTCATTAA